CTGAATTTCAATATACTGTTTACGCTTCCAAAATCTGTCTCTTATACACATCTATATGTGTATAAACGTTCTCTCTCTCTCTCTCTCTCTCTCTCTCTCTCTCTCTCTCTCTCTCTCGCTCTCTGTGTGTGCACCATCAAAGAGCATCCATAAAAAAAAGTATATGTGGGCAACATAACAGAAGATGCAAGGCTCCCCACGTTCATGTGGTTGAGCGCGGAAGTGCCCACACACCCCTTGGCCGCCAAAAGTGTGTGAGTGAGTGCGCACACCGTGGTGTGTGCTGAGACTGCTGTGTCTAGTGTTGTGTGTGTGCTTGAGATTTTCACCACAACAGCCTCTGTTCCACCCAGATAAGTAGAACCAAAATCAAAGCAGCTCTACTTCTATGCAGACAATGAAGCCCACTTGAGATGAGCCAATCCAACAAGGAAACAGTTTTACCCGTATGTGTGGGGTTGTGTGTGTGTGAGAGCGCGTACGGACACTACGGCCATGCAGGGTTGGGGTGGATATCAAGACTCGTATGGTCCGACTTTTGAACACAGTGTCATGGCTGCAATGGTTAAGATGCTTGGTTCTTGAGGCCAAGGGTGGCAGTTCGAATCAATGTGCTGTCCCAGGCTGTGGAAAACTGCCTGGAAAACATTGTACGAGGAGTGGGTGGCCGTTGGGGGAGACGCACCCTTGTGACTGAGGGTCATGTGCAGGATCAAGTGACATGTGTGTGAGAGACTACCGTGCGTGGTGGTTGTGTGAAGCTAAGGGTGCCGGACCTGCCGGTTCAAATCCGTTTGCCGTCATGCGGACAGATCCGAGGCTATACGCTGACCATGTAAAGTGGTGGTTTAAGAGGCAAAGAAAGAAAGAAAGAAAGAAGAAAGATGCGCAGACAGTTCATTCACCTGCGCTGTGGAAGTCGTGTTGAATAAACCAGCCTGAATGACCTTTGCATCGATCCCCATTTTCGACTTGGCCCTTTCCAGGATCTCCTCCTCGATGCTTCCGACGCTAACAAGCACAAACACGCGCACTTCCTTCTTCTGGCCAATCCTGTGCGCACGATCTTCTGCCTGTTGATCCATCTGAGGGTTCCAATCGCTGTCAAACAAGATGACAGTATCAGCCGTCTGGAGGTTGAGACCAAGCCCGCCCGCACGAGTACTCAGCAAAAACATGAAATACGGTGAGTCGGGCGCATTGAATTTCTTCAGAAGAACGCCCCGGTCTTCAGTCTTCGTGTTCCCGTCCAGTCGCAGATACCTGAACCCGCGCATTTCCAGGTAATCCTGGAATAACCCCCGTCCCCCATCATCGAAGACACATGCAAGAAAGAACCATCCCCCATTAGCCATATCCATGGATGCTCAACGATTCGACAAAGCAAACAGCCGAGTTTGTCCTGTTCCCCACCGTCAAAGACAAACATGCAAGAAACAACCATCATTTACTTGGCCATATCACTAGACACTCAAGAATTGATAAAGCAAACAGCCGAGTTCGCCCCCTGTTCCCCATCGTCAAAGACAAACATGCAAGAAAGAACCATCACTCACTCAGCCACATCCTTTGACGCTCAGGGATTGCCAATGCAAAGAGTCGAGTTGGGCACTCTACACAAGATCGCGCAATCGTGCATCCACACTCCCCGAACGAATGCGAGATTTTGCTCATGTGAGACAGAAAGGAAGAGTGGCAACTACCGCCTTCCTTCCGCTGAATGGGACGTACGGGCATTATGCCTGTACTTGGGCCAAATTTCAGTCCCGATACAGCGATAATGACAGCGTATTCTATTCAGGGGAATACGGTACTCTAGGATACCCATCAGCAGGGGAGAAAGAAAGTGAATTCCACTGGTGAAATGCCTGTATTTGGGGCACATTTCAGTCTACATATAGCGATAATGACCGTATGTTCTACCTGGGGAAAGATGGTATTATAATTACTCTCCCCGATACCCCTGCATTAGCCGGGGAGGAAGAACGAAAATTCCACTGGTGGACTGCCTAAATTGTACCCATATAGATATCTCTGCAAGGGTCACACACGCACCAAGTACATGGACATCCTACATGAGGGGTTTCACCAGCCCCGCCCAGCCCAGCCCAGCCCAGCCCAGCCCAGCCCAGCCCAGCACCCAGTATACGGTGCAGAGGCTTTTCACCCCTTTGCCCCATCTGCCTTGTCACCGTTAGTCGTAATTCAGTTGCGCCGAGGGGTCCCCTGGGCTAGGGCCCCTGCACAGAATGGGACTCCGTGACTCCGTCGATGTCCACAGCAGCCCGTGAAGGCCACGGGCAAGATTTTACCGGGCCACAAAAATCAGTAAAAGCTGAAATCGCGTTCAGTTAGTTTGGGCTTGACTTGGAGTGTGCACTGCACAACACGGATGCTGCAGAAGGATGACACTCACAAAAAAATCGAGAAAAGTAAAACGACCAACTTGGCATGCCTCATACAACAACCTGATGGGAAGAGCGGAAGCGGGGGGAAAGTAGTGAGAAAGCAGGTGAGAAGCGCAACGCAGGATAAGCAACAAAACACCATTCCAAAGGTTCAGCTGATCAAAAAGATGGGGGTGATCGGCAAGTAGTACCTCGAGAACGTCCATGAGGCGAGTCATTTGTGAAAAGAGGAGAATGCGATGACCAGCCAGCTTCAGCTTCGGCAGAAGCCGATCGAGCAGTTCAAACTTCCCGCTGGAGCGTACTATCTCGTCGGTTCTCGGTCGGTGATCCATTCCTTCTAGAAACAGGTACGGGTGATTGCAGCATTTCCGGAGTTGCATCGCGGTGTTCTGCAGAGCCCGAGACCTTCCGCTCCCGACATCGAGACCTACCCGACTGGAATTCAAAATCTGGTGGTAGTAGGCACGCTGCCAAGCAGACAAATCGCACTTCAAAATGACCTGAGTCTTCCCCGGAAGAAACTTCTCGACCTCCGATTTCTTTCGTCGCAACAAAAATGGACGGATTACCTGCCAGAGGGCAAAAAAAAAAAAAAAAAAAAAAAAAAAAAAAAAAAAAAAAACATGTTTGACAGAACAAGGGTGCATACCCCTCGAGAGTAAGTACACCCACTGTAAGCTCCAAAAAGACCCCAGGATCAGGAAACTGCCAGGGTGGAGAGGGGGGTTACGACCGTCTCCGAAAGGGCATTTCAAAGATGGCGTCTCGATAATTCTCTGGCCAGAACTTCAGATTAATGATCACTGCCTTTTCTGAGCAAATCGTTGAGAAAAAAGATGAAAAGTTCGTCGAAACACAACCCCCTCCTGTTAAACCGCCAGCTCACTGCCCAAAGCAAAACTTGAGAATCGAAAACGATTTTTAAGTTTTAAAAATGAGTTGTTCCAAAAAGTTCAGACGAGCAGTGCTACCAGACCAAAATGGCAGGTGGCACGAGCCAAAAGAGAGGGAAAAAACCTGCGCAGCAGCATTTCGGCAAAAGCTTGGGCCGGAAGGTATCGGCCTCGACAAAACGAGGCTACCACGTACTTGTGATTTAAGCCCCTCCAACACTACAGGTGCCCACTCGCAGCACCAAAAAGAAAGAAGTAGGGAAAGAAAAAGAGCCCACTCACTCGTTCTTCGGGGCATCGGTTAAAATTGGAACGATACAGAGAAAGAAGATTAGCATGCCCCCTGCTCAAGGATGACACGCATAAATCGAGAAATGATCAAAAAAGAAAAAAAAGGAAAAAAGAAAAAAGGAAAAAAAAAAAAGAGCCCACTCCGAGCAAAACTCTGCATTGCAGAACATCGTCTAACCAGTGACCACCAAATCTAAAGTTTCTTTCTTTCTTGGGAATTTTTTTTTGATATGCCCCTGAAAGTTCGATTTATTTTGCGGCGTGCCCCTCCAACGGCTGACTTACCTTGGCGTGCCCCTGGGGCCTCTGAACTTTCCTGCAGGCCCCTGTCAGTGAAGGGCGCAACTTTCCAGCCTGCCCCTGTGGCTGTTGGTGGCACACGCGGCCGTTCCCCTGGCCCTGGGAGGGGATCTACCAGGGCATAGTGTGGGCGGGGATCTACCGGGACATACTGTGGGAGTGGATCCTCTCGTGCAGTGTTTACCAAACTGAATTTTGCACAGTCAGACAATGCTCACAGTCATTGGGATCGGGACCAGAGAGGGGAAGGCGAGGCGAGGCATGAGGAGGGGAAACATGAGGAGGGGAAAGGAGAAAAGGTTAAGTCCACCAACATGATGAAGTCGACGGATGACCAGCAGCTGCTCCTCCTCGGTGAGCGTCACATCTGTGCTGTTGGCAAATGGAGCATTGAACCATTCTTCAAAATTTTGACTCGAGTTGAAGATGGTCGGCAACAAAAAATTCAATAGCGACCACAACTCGGACAAACTGTTTTGGATTGGAGTTCCCGTAAGCAACACTCTCCGACGAATCTGATACCTGTAGCACAAACATCCAACAGCGAGGAATCGATCATGCACACACAAGCGCTTAGCCCGCAGACTTCAGCACAAATACGGAAAAAAAACACAGACACGGGGGGGGCGGAGGGGGAAAGAAGGAAAATCATAAAAAAAAACTTTTAAAAAGTTGTCCATGGGTGCTGAAAATGAACACCAAACTCGAAATCCGATTTCATCAAGGTATTCTTGAGAACAGTTAAAAAAAAAAGCAGACGAAGGGCCAACCAGCCGAGCGGCTCGCTCGCGGCATCTCCCGCCGTAATCAACCTACGCATGCAAGAACTTAAAACTCAAATGGGGTTTAAACTTTTAAAGGGGTCTTTGTTATTTAATGTTCCCAACGGTGGGGCATTTCTGTGCCAAGCTGCCGACCAAAAACAGGCCCCAGGCTCTTTTCTGCTTTTTAGTGTTGCCGGTTGTGGGGGGGAAGGGGGAAAGCGCAGAGGGGGGGTTTAAGTGGGGTCTTGAGGGGTGTGCATCAGTTTGATAATTTGACTAGTTTCTTTTCCTTTTACCAATCGACAAGCGAACGAATACTGAGATGAAAATCAGCCAAAATTTGTTTGCATCGCAATTCTACACCATGGCAGCAATCCGGACCTCCGGACAGGGATCCGGACCGTCCGGTGTCCGGTGTCCGGTGAATATGTCCGGATCCTGGTCCGGATTCCAGGCCCTTTGGCCAACGGCCAATTTTTTTTTTGTTTGTCCAGGGCGTTTCGTCTCGCCCAGGGCTGCCAGCCAAAAATACGAGCAGAATTTTTTGGCCCTGAAGGGGCATCCGGTAGGGCCAGAATTTTTTTTTTTGCCTGTGGGAAGTTTTTTTCCTTCTATGTTTCTGCCCATTTGAATGTCATCCTTGCATCGTGGCAGCTTCGTAGTGGGCACAGTCTTTGAATTCATCATCCCGTCTTGCGAGTTCAGCCGCTCCCCCTCCCACAGCAATGTTCGAGCTTGCATGCCCGCCACTACCGACATTGTCAGAGGGAGGAAGAAGCAGGGCAACGAGGCGGCCATAGCAGGCAAGGAGCAGACGCGGAGCAGGCGCAGGAGGGCTGGCAGTGGGTGCA